GCATTTTTTATTTTACATGGAAAATTCACAGCTGGCTAGATGAAAATCATTTATAACCACTCTCTATAAAAAACAACAAATTATATCGACTGTTGTCATAAAAAATTGCATTAAAACTACTTGGCAATTGTACCTCAAAAGTGTGTCTTACCGTCACGTAGGTCATTTGTAATTTCATTTTTAATGGGAAAAACTGTTTTGAGGCTAATATTGATACCGTCTGTATCATCATAACAATCGTAATTCAAACCCCATAAAAATCCTAATGCCAGGGAGATGCTTTAATTTTTCACTTTAGTATCAAAATGTCAGAAGCTGTCAAATGTCAATTTGACGTTCAAAATTTCAAAGTCAAATTTATTATCGAAATCATCCTCAAATTCATTGTTAACTTAAGTGTCATCCCGTGTAGGAATTTTTCTCAATTTTTGAAGAAAATGAATCTTATCAAAAGTGCATTTAACTCTAAAAAAAATGGTGGGGGAAGGAGATCAAATATACAGTTTGTCCCCGGATTGAGTTTACAAGAAATAACAAATTCAAACTGGAAAAGAAAAAAATATTTTGATTCACCTGAAACGAGCACATCTGAAATGAAAGCTTCATTATTCTGACTCATTGCAAAGAAAAATTCAAGCGTTAGAGAATTATCATTTATAAAGCATAAAAAAAGAATTTTAACTAATTCATGCTTTTTGCTTTGTTTAAAGTTTTTGTTTTTTTTTTCTCGGATCAAACTCAAGTTTTCAATTAATTTGTTAAATTTTGAACCAGTGTAAAACTATTTTTGGTAAATAAATGCGTTAATTAAAATACAAAAACATTTTTTGCACAATTATACAAAAACATAAGTTTCAATCGCATCTAATTTTTAAATTTCGCGCCGTCCACATTGCGCATGCTCTCCCCCTCTTCGTCCAAATTCGCATGTCGTTGCTGCTGGTCTCTATACAATTCCATCGTCCTTTGTGTCCCGTCTTCCCGGTCCTTGTTCCTGTACCTTCGCTCGATTTCAGATAAACTTCCACCACACAATTGCCAGATCCCATCTTGAGAGCTGCTTCCTAGTCACCCATTCGTCCTTGTTACGTAATTTTTGTAAACAAAGCCAGGGCTGCTGGTCCTCATCAACAGCTGTAGAAATCGCGATTCGCGATTGTTTTGCGTCTCGCAATCATAGTGGTCTTGTGTAAATATTTCTCACATGAGATTGTCGAAAATGTTGTCGTGCCATTGTCTCAACGTGATCATCGAAACTGAAGGCGACTTGCAGAAGGTCACCGCCGAAACGTTGGGGTTGTCTCCGGAGGAGGTCCAAGACAGCTTCTTCAAACAGGTAGAAAGAGGAGACAATTGACGATCATTGACAGTTTGACAGGTCGTCGCCAACTTAATCGTATTTTTATAGGACATTCAGCAAGTCGGGAAATTAATTAACATTAATAAATCCCACTCAGGGTTGATAGAAACTAGAAATGTAGGCGCTTGGGTTATTCATTGTTGTATTAATTGTGATGTTCATTCGCATGCAGTACATCGAGAAAAGGGTGCTTCCTGTGTTCTCGTCAACTCGAAGCTTTTCGTAAGTTGACGCGGTCTCGAGACAGTTTTTGCTTACAAAAATTGGTGCGTTTGCAGACCGAGGAGACTGTGAACAAGTTACAGAACAGCGAAGCCTTCTCCAAGCTGTTCAAGATCCTCGTCAATACGGACGAAATTGTTGAGGACGATTTGACGGGAAATTCCTGTAAGTTTCCGCCAAATTTTACCTAAAATTTACATTTTTCATACTGCTGTTGTTTAGATTTGCCAAACGACGTTGAAAATGTCATTAGGGGGTTAAAACAAGTCGCTGCTGAGGCTTTGAAAAATGAAGCAATCGCCGTTGAAGACAGGATAAGACAGTTTAGTGATGAACAGTACAGGAAACTCAACGAACTAAGAGAGAGGGCCTTTAGAGAACAGCAAATTTTAACAAAGTAAGAAATAAAAACATTTTTCGTCAAGTTGTCTGGATTGGAAATATGACATCAGCACAATGCAATACAAATTTTTCAGATGTTTTTAGCATGAGTATTGGCTATACTGTTGACTTGAAAAGGGTTATAAATTCAAGTTAAATTTTTTAGATGTTGAGGTTTACCAGCCTGATTGTGACACTGAAAATTTCTTCTAATTTTTGTTTATTTTTAAATATGGCAGGGCTATCAAGATTTATAAAGAATACAGGGTGTATCAAAAACAGGTTACCGAATTTTGTCATAAACTAGAGCTTTTTGAAAAACTTACATGCGAGCAAAAAATGCACCACAGAGAATTCTCCCTTGTAAGATGGTCATAAATTCGGCGCTACTTTTAATAATAACTCACCACTAGGTGGCGCTATCAAATTAGAATTAAATGGTCAAAAAAAGATTTCAATTGTCGAGTAATTAACAAGTAGTGTAAAATAGCATTTCAATAAATAAGTTTCCGATAGATCAAAGGAAATATTTTATAAATGTGTCTGAAGGATGATGTTTTTTGAAAGTTTTTACGCACTTTGTGCGTGAAACACGTTTTCCCATAGTTGTCAGTTGTACGAGTATGTTAATTTGATGTTTACAGGTTAGGAGGCCACAAAAATAATTAAATCTTTTATCACAGTTTATAGTTGACATTTTCTAGACACTATAAACCTTTTTCCTCTTTAAAAAATTGACTTCTTGTGTGTTTCCAACTTTTCTATAGATTACCACAATTTGACACATCAGTGGCCATTGCCAAGGCCACAGCTAAGTGGTAGAGTAGAAAAGTCTGTATGAATTTGAAACGGGGAAAAAAATATATATTTTAATCTCCTAGACCTTTGCTTCAGACGCTTTATTGAAAGTGTGATTAATTTTTTTGTATCAACTCCTACTAGACTATTATTAATATAATAATAAAAAAATCCAAATTAGGCATTGTTTGTTGTTTGATAAAACGTTCACGTAAATAAATAAATGTAATAAATACACAAAAAACTTTTAGAACTACTTGTAGTTAAAGTTCATATTTTACGAGCATTCCTAAAAAATATCTCATTGTGTGAATTGTTTTTCAGCCATAAATTTTCAAATAAGACTTTGTAACCAGTTTTATAATAGTTTATGTATTTACGAACATAAAAAACTTCAACTTTGACTGTCTGTATCGTCGATTTGTATAGCTTAAGTATGTTAGTCGTAATTATTTTATTTTTGTTACAACTTCAACTATTATTTTTTTTTTGATCATCTGCGAAGTTGAACTTCACAAATCGGAATTAATGCCCGAAGTTAGCCATTTCTAGTTAAGGGTTAAGGGGGCGAAATTCACAGCAGTGGAATATTGTGGAAAAAACGTTGTTTAAGTTTAGGGAACGGAAATTTACTTGAAGTTTACTATTTGATTAAATTTAACGTAATACTTTCAATTAAAACAACAGATAGAGAAGCCCCCTATAACAGTTCAGTGACCAAGGTTCAAATAGTATTAATTAATTTTAATAGAAATACTAAAAAGTTGATTTAAAAAAATCCATTATCAATTTGTAAAATAGCGAGGTTATCTGTTGTGTTTATTAAATTATATAAATGGATGCAAATAGATAACTTCTGGAATTGACTATTGTAAAATTATTGCATTTTTATGTTGCTTGGATTTAATGAAAGACTTCCGTTATAATTAGTTGATTTTTTATGGTTGATATTGTGGGTTGTTAGGTAGACACAAACACCTCCGGAGGCGTGTATTAGTCACATATCGATGAATCATATTCGAATTTTCTTAAAGAAAAAACGGTAAGATAATCCAATCACTAGTTGAAGGTCAAAATTTAAATTTAATACAAATATTTAAATTCGCAACAAGTAGTGTTTTTCAAATAGCATTTGACTTTAAAAAACATATCTTTTTAATGCGAAAATTATAAAGCAATTAAGTTTGTTGATTTCGATTTTTATTGCAAACTATTGTTTTTTAAGCAGTCACGTAACAGATCACTATAAAGGTATATGTGTCTGTGGTAAGGGCGAATTTATTGAAGTTCAAAATTTTTTTGTCAAGGAATTCAAGGAAATGGCTTTTCGTCGATAATGTTGACGTATTGTTTGTTTGGTTGTTTTAATTTTTCTAACAAGATATCGTTATCGTATGCTAAATATAAAATAAAAAGTTATTCAAAACCACACAAATCGCAGTCTTATCGTTCAACTCGTTAATTGAATTGTTTCAGAATTATTTTAAATAAATCATCACAACAAACAATACCTTCAAGTACAAATACGGGCATGTCAAATCCGCAAGGGATGCCATCGAGACTGAACGAACCTCTAGCGGCTGGAAGTGTCAAAACTGCATCGCATATGACCGTAAGTATTTTTTCACTCGCTACGCTCGCGCGATTAAAACCAAGCTAAAGTGATCAGTGATGCCAGATGAGATTAAGCGCTTGTTCCTAGATTGTAGCTTCTAAATTCCCTAGAATTTCCTAAACTACTTAAAAAATTAAAAAGATACTATTTATAAATATTATTATTTATAAATACAACATAAAAATGTGTTTACTCCAAACAACAAAAAAGTCAACTTGGCAACGCGAAAAACGCAAACGGCTTTTAATGCACTTCCTATCTTGTTCTTTTTTTGTCTTTACACATGTAACTACAGAAAATACATTTTTGGTTTCCGCGTTACTGTGTGCTAAACTCATATATAATTGCACTAACTTGGCGAAGTTACAATATTCATATTAAAAATTGTTGTAATTTTTGAAACTGTGCTAGCAGTGTGAAAAAAAAATTGAGATTTTCACTGAAAATGTAAAAAGTTCCTAGATTATTAAGAAAAATTGAAAAAAAATCCCTTTTTCCCTTTTTGTTAGAAAAATCCCTAGAACTAGGGAAAAATTCCCTAATCTGGCATCACTGAAAGTAATTATTATTGTCTATAAACTGAGAAGATGAATACTCCGCCCATTTGAATTGTTAGCAATTAGCAGACCAATCATATCAAAGGAAAAATTACAGTGAATAATTTTTTCCCGTAATACACTGGCGGACACGGAATTTTGGACGATTTGTCATTCGACTGACATATCAATGTAAAACGGGCCTTAGACAACTAACCTCACTTTCGGTTTTTGTAATTTCTATCCTGAGAGCGAGAGAAAAAATGACAACAAATCAAAATAACTTATTGATCTTATATAAAAACACGTATTGCTGGGATTATTGTTTCGTAAAATCGACGCCAAAAATAAATTTCAACTAAAACTTTCAAACGTCAATGATAATGACAATAAAGCGTGGCTTACATTGACATTTTCTGAACTGTCATTAATTTGATGTCCAAAATTCCGTGTCCGCCAGTGTATGTGTTATGGAACAAATTCAGCTTGTTTAAATTATGGCGCATGTTTTACATTCACTTCTTATATTACTTTGAATTAGGTAAAAAACACTAACTTTAGATATAAGCTTTTAATTTCAATGTGACATTTTAAAAATGTACTTTCCCACGCAATTTCAAAGGTACTATTTTCTGGGCGGAGGATGTCGGCAATCTAGTTACTTTTCTGTCACTATTCTATCATTATCTAGACTATACCTAATTGTAAAAAAAGAGAAAGCAAAGATAAAAAAGGATAAGAAAAATGGGAGCTAATGAATGAACTAACTAACGAGAAAATTAAGACAAAACATAAATTCGGAATTTTGAATTGTAGAAAAAAATGTTGAAACTGAAAAGAAAATAATTTTGAGGTGACCAACATTGGTAGAAAAAATGTCATTCAAAAAACTGAAGAAAAAATGAGAATCGGAAAATTAATCATGAAAATAATTAATAATGGAGTGTAAGAATTTGGAAGAAACTTTGTATTGAATAATCTGAGAACTAGAAAACTAAGAACAAACCTAAATTAAGAAATTTATATGAATGTGAAAAGATTAAAAAAATATTTGGAAAAAAATTTTATAACTAAGAAAATTGAAAACTAGGAATGAGAATAAAACAAAACAAAGGAAAACAAAAAATGAAAATTTGTGTTAATTTTGAAATTGTTCAAGATCATAATAATTTTTATTCTGCAAACCAATTTATTTTTGTCACGTTTTCCATTAAGAATTAAAAAAAGATCACTTCTGAAAAATTCTTAATTGACATTTAGTTGTTTATTTGTTGATTAATTGTTTAACTTGTAGTCCAACTCGCTGCGCCACACCCCCAAGCGTCAGAAAAGCTGCCCCTTGAACCAAGTCAACTCATTCGACACTGAAGGCTTGTTCGAGTTCGACGGCACTGATGACAACCACTCGGGCACCGCCTCTGAAATCGAAGAAAGCGACCTCGACGAGGCTATTCGTGAAGACGGCGTTAAAATCCCGAAACGTGGGACAAATACCGGCATTGCCAAGTCGCTTCCGATGACGATTCCGGCCTTTCTCTCACAGTCCAAAAACCGGAGTTTCGAAGATGTGGACGAAGCGCCACCTGTCGAGGCCAATACGGACATAGCAGCCAGCATTAAGGCCTTGGCGAAAAGTGTACACGGCGATACGGTTTTTGGGGATTTACCCAAACCGAGATATACCTATATTTAACTTCCGGCTATCTTTCTGTAGCGTTGCTTGTGAGGTCATGTGACACACTAGTCGCAATTGTTTTGTGTTGTGAATGAGGATTGTGATCGAAATTATTTTTCTACGGTGTTCTTCAGGCCAGTAGAAGGCAGCTGAGACGAGGCTATTGCTTATTGAGGGTAAAAAGGGATCGTTGCAGAATTGTGAGGTTTGTCAACAAGCAATGAAGGCTCGTTTTAAGTTACGTTGGCAATTTTTTTGTTACTGTGTTACGTTAATGACATTATAAAAGTGTCAATGATCTGATATTTTTAGTCGTTACTTTTTTACTTCTTAAAATTTGCCATTTCTTTTTACGTTTGTTACTACGTTACTGAAACAAACACATAAAACCCATGTACAATTTATAGTTTGTAAATTATTTTTAATTGTTAAAAAATTGTGAATAAGCAAATATATGACATGAAAGGAGCTGCTCTAAAATTTTCTATCCAATTCCATCAAGAACTCTACATTACCGACATCGAATGAAACCTTGAAGTAAACTGGACAAATCAAGAAATCATTCAGACAGTATATAAATGTAGTTAGAAGAAGCGTTTTGAAAAAATTTGAAGTAATATCCTAATAATGACCGTTTTTATTTCGTACGTGTATAATTGGTTATTTAAAAGTAAACAAAAGTATAGTCTTTTTTGTACAGTGCGATCAAAAAGTCTGTCTATCAAGCAAGCGTAGAAATTTAAAACGTATGTCTGGAAGATAAAATGTCACAATGAGAAATGTCAAAATAATTTTTATGTAAATTATGACAGCAAACCGTGGTGAACGATTTTTATAAATAAACACCAACAAAATCTTATTTTAGTTTGTTTTGAGACGTTTCATAGAATAATTCAATTTAATTAGCTTAATGCTTTAATTTTTTGACATCTAGACAACATACGAACTGCCATGCAACATACGTCCTCAACTAGGACGCCTACTTGATAGAAAGACTTTTTGATCGCACTGTATATGCAAGTGAGTCAATAATTCGAAAGACGTACTTATGGCTATCTCTTATCAACATTTGTAAACAGTCTCGTTGCTTAGTCGCTACAATTGGAGACAAAATACCGTGCAATCAAATGAAAAATAAATTAGAGTAGGCGTCGATTAAATTCTACAGTTGGCAACACATTGGCTGGGAATCTGGGCTGGAATTTTCTACACAATCTGAAAGTGAAAATGACCATCCACCGTTTTCCTCTTGTCACCAATAAAAATTTTCTTGAATATGATTTCACTCAAAAGGAATAAAACGCAAACTTGTCAAAGTTTCCGCTGACATTTGATGTCAAAAATCAGGATTGCCATCTGAAGGACTTTAATCACCGCCTACTCTATTTTTTTTTTGATCTCTTGAATGACATTAAATTGTAAAGCATGCCTTAGGACTGTTAACCATATTTTTAGCTACTGCCAATCATAGTTGACAAGTTGTACGTTGTACATATTTTTGATAGGAAAATGTAATAGCTGTCATTAATTTGAAATTGTCATTCATTTTAACGTTAAAACTTGAATTACATTAAACTGTCAGAAAAGTGAGGACCAAGGTATTTTGCCTCCAACTGTACGTAATTGCGTAGCCTATAACGTGATTATCACACCCCCACCAGAAAATAATAAAAAAATGGACTTTACTAAAAGCATTTTTTAATACAAAAAAACAATTTTGTTGTTTTTTCGCTCCTTTGTGCAGTAGGTTGCAAAATCCTCAACTCTAACCTCACTTTCAACCGTCAAAACAAATATTTTACTAAAGCCATTCAAATCATGAATATGACAAATACGACTGCAAACGTTGATATTTATCGTAAACTAGTGAAAACGTACCTCGATTTGGTAAAAACAGCAATTTGTAGAACTTACTTTAAAAAAAAATTCTAGCATGGGTATCAATCTGCGTTATTTTGGGCCGATAAGGTGGTAACTCTGACAGGAAACCCCCGAGATGTATACTGGTTAGCGCAATGCATGTTTATGTTAAAGCAATACCACAGGGCTTCGCATTTATTGCGTTCGAAGAATCTGGATAAGAGTTACATCTTGTGTAATTGTTTAACAGCGAGGTGTTTATTAGAAGCGAACGAATTTAATGAAGCACTTCAAGTTTTAAATTCGATTGATTTCGATTTCAGTACGGAAAATGCGGCGAATATTGAGGCTTTGCTGTTTGATGAGACTCCTAAAAATGTAAGTATTGAGTTTATTCGCCCCAATTTTGCGTTATTACTAATTTTAGCAAGTTTTCTCTTCTGTTTTTCTGCTGAAAGGGAGGGTGTTTGAAAGTATGGATAATAGAGGCCTTGCTGCTGATTGCTACAAACAAGCGTTACAATACGACGTTTACTGTTTTGAAGCGTTTGAATCTCTGATCAAGTACCAAATGCTCACTGCCCGTGAAGGTTTGATTCATTTAATTTTCCAAATTTATTCCAACATTGTTCTTTTAGAGGAAGAATTAATTAACGCTCTGCCAATCATGCAACAGTGCAACGGTGAAGAGGCTGAAATTCTTCTGACTCTCTATGGAAGTAAATTAAAAAAATACCACACACCAATTGGGGTGAAAATAACAGAACGTAATTCCTCTGAGTTAATTTTAAACAGTATACCGTCATTGCCTACTACTCCCAGTGTGATAGCTTCAACGTCAATAAGTAGTACACCCAACGTGGCCAGAAACAATGATAAAAACTTGATGAAAAATGTGGAACATTTCGAAAGACCGGTTTTGACTAAACTGAAACAAAGTTTAGATATGCAAGTGGCTGAGGCCGAACGTTTGTACTATAATTGTGACTATCAGCAATGTAGTGAGTTGACTGAGGCGATTTTGCGGGAGGATCCTTATCACAATGGGTGTTTGCCGATCCATATAGCATGTCAAGTGGAACTGAAGCTTAGCAATAGTAAGGAAATTATTTGAAGTGAGTCAAGTGCACGCGAAATACGTTGTCAATAACTATGAAAAAATCTACAGGGACCGATTCTTCGGAAATACTAAAATAGGCAAAACAACTGTCACTTAAGGTGGCCGTACAAACGTGAAAGATGTCAGTTTACAGATTATTCCTATTTCGTTGGCACTACTGGTAAACATAACATACCAAAATATAGTTATTGACAACTTGTATTTTGTAACTTTAACCCACTTCATATTTATTTAAATTTGATAAGTTGAGTTTTTTCAAAATTTGAGTTACAAGTTACAGCGATCAAATCTTAGAACTGTAAGTAAGAAATATAAAAAGTTAGAATAAAAATTTGAAAATTAAAAATGGAGAAGTTGACGAGTAAATACAAAATTCAGTATAAGGAAGAAAGCATACCTAACAACGAAAAACAGAAAATAAGAACTGAAGACAAAATAATGTAAGACTGAGATTAAAAACAAAAAAAATTGAGTAAAGGTAACTTAAAATTTAGCTAAGAATGGGAAGTTAGGTCAAAAAGAAATGAGAATGTCTAAACTTAGGAGGGAAATTCTCAACAGTGAACAATAAATGAATAAACAAAAACAAAATAAAAAAACTTAATTGAGTTTTATCAAAATACAAGTATGAATCACAACTGGCAAATTTAAACTATTTTTCTTGATAAACTGAAACTATATTATTTTTCCTCAAAAATTTTAAACTGCTGATTTCAAAAAAAATGTATACCTCGTAATGTTTCTATTAATATTTTGGAAACATCACAACAGCGCGAAATGGGTCAAAAAATTTGATTTCTGTGTAAAAGAGTTATAATACAACACTTGTGTTATAATACGGCACTTATAACTGGACCCTAAAGCTAAAAAAACTCTACTATTTTATACAGCGTGTTTTAAAATGATTTTCATCTAGTGACCTTTCCATGCAAAATAAAAAATGCCGCTTTAATAAATATTGAATCTAATTAACCTCAAATGTTAATTTATTTCAATTGACAGCTGTCACTATTGACAGAACTATCTAATTCAAAATGAGTAGAGCACCGAATATTTTACATGTAAAGAAATTCTATAAGCGACTAAATGAAAATCATTTCAAAACACGCTGTAGAATTTATTTAAAATGTGTCAACATTGTAATATGTTGTCATAAACCATAATTTATATCAGGTGGACAGAAATTATGAAAAAAGTCGTTTTTTGCTTAGACTATTTATTTTTTGGAAAAACTAATTGATGAATGCTAAAATATTATCTATAAAAGTGTGACGTTTCTCAGTAATAACATTTTCCGAGTTTTTTTCTTTTGTTTCTTGAGTTCTGCAAAATTTTATTTTATTTTTTTTTAAATGACAACTTCTTCTTCTTGGATCTTCTTGGTATGATGACGACATCGTGTTTTTGTTCAAATGACAACTTACTATAAAACGTTTTTTTTACAAAGACTATGATCTCAGGATTACAACTATCTACATTTTATTCAATTTTACCGAAAAAAAATTATATAATGTGCAATTTTGAAAAAAAAATGCATAATTCATAAACAAAACACAATTTCATTCGCAAAGCACACTTTTTAAGTATCTTGTATATTTATTACTGTTTTTTTCGTTTTCCACAGAAATTATTCGTTCAAATTGCATGAAACGTGAGAAAGAAATTGTAGAAATATAAAAAAAATAGACAAATATGGTGTTTTAAATTTGAAGATTTGAATTGAGAATGAGTAAATAATAAATAAAGAAATTCAAAATAAAACCTAAAACAAGGTAATCATTGGAACAAAAATACAGAGTGGTTATAAATGATTTTCGTCTAGCCAGCTTTGGAATTTTTTTGCATGTAACTTTATTTGTGCCGCTCTACTTTTTTGACAGCTCTAGTTCTGTCATTAGTGTCACTTATTTATTAATTAATAATAAATTGTTGTTAATTAAATTTTTATTGTTTCAACTAATTTCCAATAATAATTGATAATAATGTATACTTTAGAAGAAAACAAGTTTATAATTGAAGTCTATTTTCGAAATGGACGCTTAGTAAACGGCGATTTTTTAATTTTGAGTTACAACAAGTAGGAACCCCTATTTTCGTAAAACGGCATTTTTCATTTTACATGGAAAATTTACAGCTGGCTAGATGAAAATCATTTATAACCACTCTGTACTTACTGAAAACATTCTCAGTACAAAAATTCTCAACAATAAACAATACATGAATAAATAAGAATTGAGAAATAAATAAGATTGAAACAACTGAGGAACAATATTTCAAAATTAACACAGTGAAAAAATTGAGAAGTTTTAGAATAATCCACTGAAAATAATAAATAAATAATAATAAGAAACAATAGTACGAAAAATAAGGATGAAAATACTTGAAATGAGATGTCTAGGATTATGAAAATTAAAAAAGAATTTTATAGGTTGCAAAATGAAAATGTGAAAACTGAAAATGTATTGTATTATCGTAAAACAAAATTAAATGACTTTACAGCCAATGGTTGCAATAGAATGAGGATTAAATTGTTAGATATTGTATAATTTTCTTATTCCCACTTTTTGTAATTGTTGATTTATTCGTGGAGATTGGGAATAATTGCAAAATTTAAAAAAAGTAAAAAAAAAGACAAAAAAACAAATAAAATTTTACTGTAATTAATATTCAAAGTGTTAACAAACTGTGTTAAAGACTAGTAAGACACTTCCTAAATGCGTTACATTGAATAAACAGTGTCTATTTTTTTAAATTTTGTAATTATTCCCAATCTCTACGAATAAATCAACAATAGATTGTATTTTTTTTACTTTTGAGATAATTTACACAAATGAATTTGTTTCTTCCTTCAGAACTGTTTTCCCTGGCCCACAAGCTGGTGGATCTTTACCCCAACTTGGCGATTTCCTGGTTCGCCGTCGGTTGCTACTATTACATAATCGGCAAAAGTGACTGCGCCCGCCGTTTCCTGTCAAAGGCCACCTGTCTCGACCGCTTATTCGGCCCTGCGTGGCTCGCCTACGGCCACTCTTTCGCCATCGAAAACGAACACGACCAAGCGATGGCCGCTTATTTCAAAGCCTCTCAATTGATGAAAGGCTGCCACTTGCCCCTCCTCTACATCGGACTCGAATGCGGCCTCACCAACAACGTAAGACTCGCCGAAAAGTTCTTCAAACAAGCGCAAAACATTGCGCCGGATGACCCCTTTGTCATGCACGAAATGGGCGTAATAGCATTTCAAAATTTAAAGTACAGTTTTTTCATTTTTCTTTCTAAATTTCTATAAATACTATTTGTAGCTTCAAAGATGCGGAAAAACACTTCAAGGACGCGTTGGCCAGGATCAGGAAGGTTAAATCAAATCCTGATATAATACCGAAACGGTGGCAAGGGTTGTTGAATAATTTAGGACACACATGTCGCAAACTGAAGAAATATGAAGAGGCTTTGGATTTTCACCACCAGGCGCTGTTGTTGGCCCCCCAGTCGGCGAGTACGTATTCGGCTATTGCTTTCGTACATGCCCTCATGGGGCACACTGAAGACGCCGTGGATTGGTTTCATAAAGCCCTAGGACTGCGCATTGATGATTCGTTTTGTACCACTATGTTGAACTATGTTATCGAACAATTAGCCGAAGAAAAACCCCCGTATCCAGGTGCTCCAGAATTTATACCAAAATTTGATATCGAAACGAAGGCTTTGGGGGACACCGAGACTGAAACATCGCAAGCGAACGAAGAGTCGGCGTCAATGGCCCCCAGTGAGATGAGTATGAGTATAGAAGTGGACATGGCGGACGCTAGTGGAATAAATAAAGAATAAATCTAATTTTTTACAAATAAAATGATTACATACAAAATCGCGCTTTCACTATACCAACCTAAAAAAATTAAATCTGGGGATTTTTGTGTTTGTGATGACAGTTCGGTAATTTGACAATTGACGTTTCCTCCTGTCACCAAAAGGCGTGTATGCGAAATAATAAATAAATTAAAAAAATGGAAACGTACGATGTTATCGTCAACCAACCTGTAGTCATAGACAATGTAGGTACTTATCTTTCAAAAATCCCTCAACTTTAATTGTTTTTTCTACATTCAGGGCTCTGGGGTTATCAAAGCGGGTTTCGCAGGTGACCAAATCCCCAAATGTAGGTTTCCAAATTAGTGAGTATTTCTAAATCGCCGAATGAACATCAAGTTACACTTTTGTTGTAGTATCGGTCGGCCGAAACACGTAAGAGTGATGGCAGGAGCGCTAGAAGGGGACGTGTTTATAGGCCCCAAAGCGGAAGAACATCGCGGTTTACTCGCGATTAAATATCCAATGGAGCACGGGATTGTGACGGATTGGAATGATATGGAAAAAATTTGGACTTACATTTACAGCAAAGACCAGTTATCAATTTTTTCTGAGGAACATCCAGTTCTCTTAACGGAAGCGCCTTTAAATCCAAGACCGAATCGGGAAAAAGCGGCAGAGATTTTGTTCGAGTCGTTTAATGTACCCGCTTTGTTTATCTCCATGCAGGCTGTACTTAGTTTGTAAGTAAAAAAATTATTTATAACAGTTTGCATAAAAAATATGTCAATTAATATTCCAAACTTGATCAATATTTTTTATAAAATTGGGGTAAAACTAATAATAGATTTAAAAAAAAACAAACGGTATATTTACGCCATTAAACTTTATTCTAGGCTGAGTGGTGACTCATCTGTAAAGCAATTTAAATAAAGATGATGAGCAAGTTGGGTTTTTTTTGCAAAACTCAAAAACTAAAAAAATTCGAAAAATTTTATTCTTGAAAAACAATCACAATTTTTATAGTATTCTACATCGCACTAATTATTATACAAAAAGTGCGTAAAACGGTAAGTAATATGTATTTAAAAATCACTAATGAAATAAGATTTTACTCATATTATAAACGTCAGAGATCTGTTAACGGTTTAATGAAAATAAATAATAATAATAAACGCAATAGATGTCAAATCTGAAATTTCTATCTGTAAATTGAAAATTTTGCTTCCTATATAAGGTAACAAAGGGTAACATTGACACATCTTTAGATTTTTTTTCATTGATTTTTAGCAATAAACAATTGCAGATTTGGCTTAAGGTGAAGCAATTTACAATGCTTACATATTAGAAAACAATTTGTAAATTGTATTTCAGTTTTCAATATTATTCATATTTTTTTAAACCTTTGCAAAGTGTGGATGTTACGCAGCATGTCGGTTAACATTGACATTTGGATAAATTCTGGTAAAAGTGAATATTTCTGCTGAATTAATAGAAAATTATAAAAATTGGCCGTGTATTTTAAAGATGTGCCAAAGTTACCTCTATGTCAATGTTACCCGCCTTTACCTTATGCAAGAAGGACTTTAATCAATTTAAGAGAATTTTAAATGTGAAACAAAACAGTTTTTTCTAAAAAAAAATGTAAGTAAATGTACGATGTTACTCATCTTTTCCAGTTTTTATATTTAAAATCAGTAGCTAAATACTTGGCTTAATTTTATTTATTTATTTTATTTTATTAAAGTTAGAGATCTACTATTGATATCAATGTAATGGAAATAATATGTAATATTAAAAAACATAAAATGTCAAATTATGAAATTGGAAATTTTACTACTTAGGTATCTATGCAAAAAAAGTTTGGGGATTTTCCGGCCAATTTGAGAAAATTTCGAATGGGTATTAAACCAATGATATGTATAGGGTGTTTCAAGTTTTAGGGCCGGCTCAAAAATAAATATTTCTAATTAATTAAAAAATAATTTTGATAGTGTAAACGATAGAAGATTAAATACACTTTAATTTGCTGTTTTGATATTGTACAACATTTTTGGGGTATGGTAGTGAGACCTTAAAAATTAAATTTGGAGAAAAAAAAAAATTAACTGGAATATTTTCTATATGATAAAATTCTGTGGTATTTGTGAAAATAGAATAACGATAAAGTTGATAGGTTTTGAATAATTAGCAAAAACGGGTGTGGGTAGTAATAGATTTTCCAGTCTTAACAAAAAGTCACCATAATTTAACAATTATTAAATTTTGGTAAAGGGAATGTTAATACAGATCAATGCAGAATTAAATTCTCTTCCATTTAGTAAAATAAAAATTGTTGTATTTCATTTGAAAAAAATGAGTTATGGGTATTTGAATTTTGAGGTTTGTTAATTGTTTTTTCAAAATTTGAAAATACCTAAAGAAAGATTTAAGCTTTCTCTTTAAAAAGCCAAAAAAACGAATTCAGAATTTTAAGGAATGGCAGAGTTACCAATTTTTAAAACGGCTAAATTTAGGGAAAGCTGATAAGAAAATCCCTTAAAATAATCCGATTAATCCAAAAACGTAGTAAAAAATATAGCTTTCCATTAAAAATAAGAAAGTTGATACGGACTTCCGGTATAAACGGAAGTGCCGCCATTTTGAAAATATTTTTATTTTGGAGGACTTAATGGATTATGGATATGTACCAATTTTCAAATAAATACGATTATTCGAACTCCCAATACTTCTAATGTGGGGTTTAGACGGAACACCCTGTATAATCGTCTATCGTTTGCACTAGCAAACATTTTTTTTAATAAATTACAAATATTTTTTGGGCCGGTCCAAACTTGGCACACCCTGTATAGTATAACTAAAAATAAGTTTTGCTACTTATTTATCTGTCACACAACTTTAATATAGGGATTTTCTGGCCAATTCACGAAAATTTTCAATGTTTATTATTAAACCTAAACGCTTGTTTTAAAAAATGTTGTGTCCCCTTTCCCAGATATTCGACTGGTCGGACTACTGGCGTAGTCCTGGACGCAGGCGACGGAGTGACCCACGCAGTGCCTATCTACGAGGGCTTCGCCATGCCCCACAGCATAATGCGGGTGGACATCGCCGGTCGCGATGTCTCTCGCTATTTGCGCCTCCTCCTCCGCAAAGAAGGCATCAATTTCCGAACGACGGCCGAATTCGAAACTGTTCGAACGATCAAAGAGAAAGCTTGCTATCTCGCCAACAACCCCCTTAAAGAGGAAACCGTCGACACCGAACACATCAACTACACCCTCCCCGACGGCAACGTAATCCAAATCGGACCGGCGCGTTTCCGCGCCCCTGAAGTGCTCTTCAGGCCGGACCTCATCGGCGAGGAGTGCGAGGGGCTCCACGAGGTGCTTGTCTACGCTATTCAGAAGTCGGACCTCGACCTTAGGAAAGTCCTCTTCAAAAATATCGTGCTCTCAGGCGGGTCGACGCTCTTCAAAGGGTTTGGGGATCGGCTGTTGTCGGAAATAAAGAAGTTGTCGCCGAAAGACGTGCAGATTAAAATTTCAGCACCCCAGGAGAGGCTGTACTCGACGTGGATCGGGGGGTCAATTCTGGCGTCGTTGGATACGTTCAAAAAGATGGTTGTGTCGAAAAGAGAGTTTGATGAGGAGGGACAAAGGGCAGTACATAGGAAAACGTTTTAGGTTTTATTTTTCATTTAAAGCTTAAGTGGCAACAAACGATTCTTAATTTATAATTATTATGTTTAATATGAAATATAAATATTTAAGCTTTATACTGTGTCAATATTATCTCTTTTTTACTTTATAATTTTAAGTGAGCACAGTTTAGACTAAAATGCAGCTTTAATAATTACTGATTTCTCTTTTTTATAATAAACTTTTCTTTGTAAGAAAGATTTTTCACTGTAGCGAGGGACTCAACAGATTTTATCAAAACCAGTCAAAAAATCGAAAGCTGTTTTTTTAAATTACCGTTTATTAAAATTATGTTTTTCACAAGCATTTTTGCCATTTACGAAATTAACCAAGTTCAAGATAATTTTCAAAATAAGCTTTTTATTAACACATCGTGAATACATCTATCACAGTTACAGGTTTTTATTTATATTTACTCATAGTACTCTATCACAGTTTTAGATTTTTGATCATCTTTTTATTTACACATCGTAAATACGTCTATCATAGTTTCAGGCTTTTGATCATCTCTTAGGAAAAGCTTTCCTCTTGGTAAGGGATATACCTCCCACAAAATCCCTACAATTTTTATAATCATTAGAGTATTTGTAGCGTGAAATATGGGATGCGCCGAATCACACAATCTCTTATAAAAGCTGGGAAATATTTTCTTAAAAGTGTTGAAAGACAATCCTCATCGTTGTAATTCTTCTTCTTTTTTTTCCATAAACACTTCAAAACGTCTACTTCTTTCTTGGATGACAAGTCGTAAGGTAAAACGGTAAATTAATACGAGTAGGACGTATAATAATACGAATAGGACCGTTCTTTTTTGAAGGTAAATTATAACTTTAGTTATTATAATCATCACCCTTTTGATCATGTCATTTTACCTTTCGACCTGTCATTTTACTTGACATTTTACAGACATACGTTTTCGGATCCAAAGATGACACGATTACAAATTATCTTGATCGCTCGATACTTTTATTTTATGATAATTATTATTATATTGAATGGAATGAATGTATGTAGTATGAAACCCGAACACTCAATTATTAACGAACTATTTCCTAGTGTTTGTTTCATCCCTGGAGGTGTGTTTCTCCTTACACGGTTTCATCTGATGTAAACAGTGTTTTTCGATATAGAAATGGCATATTGTACTTTTTTAAAAAGAATGATAACAAAGCGATTTCATACGAAAATGATGAATTTTCAAATATCTTAATAAAAGCTGCTCCATTTGATTTTGGTACCTTGTCCCCAATCTAGGTATTTTGGAACAACTGAAAACTGTATTAAATAATTGGCTATTAAATATCGCCTCTGAATTGACTTTATCACCTAGTTGTGAAACTAATTTAAAAACAGGGCAGAATCCTTAAGTTAGTGTTGTGTACTGAACAAGCCCATATAGTACAAACTTAAAAACAGGGTAAAATCCACAACTCTTAAGTGTTTTCAAGGGTGAATTTGTTTGGCCGAAATCGAATTTAGCTTTGAAAAAACAGGATAGATACTTTGAGATTTTGACTTTTTTAAAAAGGGTATCATCTTTGGAAGAACAGAATGGATTCCTTAAAATTTTCACTTTTAAAAAAGGGTACTTTAAAAACTTTAAAAACGTGTTGTGTGCTCAAGGGGTCTTACTACTAATTATGAAATATAAATATTTAAGCTAAAAATTGTCTCTTTTCAATTTTTTTATTTTAAGCGAGCACAGTCTAGGCTAAAATGCAGCTTTATCAATTATTGATTTCTTTATAATAATAAACTTTTCTTTGTAAGAAAGATTTTTTACTGTAGCGAGGAACTCACTAAACTCAACAAACCAACTAAAAAATCGGCGCTTTAGGTCAGAACAATGAACTATCCAAAAAAGTTTACTAATTTTTTATCGAGAAACGCACGTTTTGCAAAAAAAAAAATTATTGGTTTATCAGGATTTAGCGTGTTTTTTGAGCAATAAGCTCATTAAATTCGGCCGATTTTGCCAAAAGATGACAAATAATTTTAGCTATTTGGAGCAATTTAGTTTGTTTTTGAGCTTTTGATTAACTATTAACATTGAACAGATTTGGCGAAAAAAGAAGGCCAAAAAATCGTCGTTCTGGGCCAGAATAATGCATCTTCATTAAAACTAAGATTTTACCAAAGAACACGTCGTTTAAGACAAAATAATGCTAATTTAGTTTATTTCAAGCATGTTAGCTGGTTTTTTTTTCAGCGAAAAATTCATCACATTGTGGTGCAACAAGGCAAAAAATAAAAGTTTCTCTACTTTACGCTATTTCAGCGATTTCAGAGCGACGAACTCCCAAATTCAATAAAATTTGCCATAGAAGACCAAAAATAACAATTTGATTTGGTAAGGAGGTATTGCACACAATAGTTTGTCAATGGTTGTCAAATACATAATACAGACAGTCTCTCTTCGCCCATTAAAAATTCAGAATAAAGGGAAAAAATGATCACAGTTATGTAGGTGTAATAATAAAATTGCATATGAAAAACATTTATTGGTTTATGAAATGATGTGCAATTTTATTGATGACTGATCTTTTTATGCTTATTGAGATTTCCCGTCGTTGTAAACCCCTTCCCACAGACTGTACACACATAGGGCCGTTCTCCCGTATGCGTTCTCGTATGAATTGTCAAATGAATATTTTTGGAAAAAAGTTTACCACAAATCTGGCACATGAAGGGCTTTTCTCCTGTATGTTTCCTCATATGTATTCTCAACACTCTCGGGTGAACAAAAGACATGTCACATAGCTTGCAATGGTGCCTTTTTTTATCACAATGAGTGCTGTTTATGTGAGTCGAAAGGTTGCTCCGTGTTGAGTAAGTTTTACCACACTGGCTGCAAACGTAGGGTCTCTCGCCTACAAACGATTAATAAATAAATAAACTTTTGACGATTTTTCTGAAACAATACCGGAATGGATCCGAGTGTGGACATTCAAGTTGTATTTTTTGGCAAAAGCTTTGGTACAAACTTTACATTTGAAGGGTTTGTCATCAGGGGGGGCATGTGTTAACATGTGGTGCTCCAATCCGGATGAACAATTGAAAATCTTACCGCAAACTGTACATAAATACTGTTTTTCTTTGCGTTTGTCCTCCATGTTGTCTAGCAGGGGGCTATCTATGAACGAAAGAGGTTGCTCATCCCTCTCACTATTAAAAACTTTAACCCACGGTAAAATGATATTAAATAAATCAGTAAATTTTACCTTCAAAAGAACAAAACTCGCACAAATCTGAGGCCCCATTCAGAATGTATTTCGAGCACCTAGACAGCCCCAAATTGGTATTCAAACAATATCTCACATCATGGAGGGAATAAATAAGACTTGTTAAGTCGGAAATTGTTGCAATTTTCGAGGCAGACACTGGGAGTTGTACAATTTCGTCATTGAACGACACGGAAGTCTTGAGAGTGCCGTTCTCGGAAGTGAGGAGAACCCCCTTGTCAATAACAACTTTATCGCAGAAAGGCTTCACATGCAAAACTGCAAGGAATTCCTCTTTGGGGTCAATGTGGACGGCCCATAAGGGCGTCGGGAGAGTCATCAAGTGCAAATTTTTGATAAAATCACCAATGATTGAAGTCATTTTGAGGTTAGGTTGACGAAAACACAAACTATTTGCTGGTACTTGAAAAGTCACACACACAAACAATTCTACTCTTGTTCCTGTTTGAAGCACTTACGTACTGTTTTTACATCACTTAAACTATAAAAATGTTTCATTTCAAAACACGTTTAAAATGAGGTTATGTTAGACATTTGTAAACAAAAACGAATCGTTGACAGGTGGCAAGTCACAAGTCACAAAAATGATAAAAAAACGGAATTATGCATTTTTGTGAAACTTGAAGACACTACCTAAATTGATTAATGCATTTTCTTGTCCGGTAAGTGTTGTTTTTGTCATTTCTATAAATGATTTGATGGATTGTTGACAGTTGTGATTTGTAGGTTAGGTACACGTCATTTGTAAAAATTACAAAAATTGGAGGAATGGATATTACAATACTTTTCAAGGCTTGTGTTAAGACTGTGAGGACGACGAATAAGGCTTTAGGCCTGAAAGAGTCTAAACCGTCGCTTCCTAAGTCGGGTCCAAAGGACCCCAATTTGGCGACTGCTAAAGAAGTAGTGAAGCAAATCACGCATCTCCAAACCTTTCTCTTAGAGAACAAAGCAGCTTATTTGAACGTACTGAATTATTTATCAACTAATAAAACAATGACGGAAGTTGACAGAGAGCAAATAGACACAACTGCTGAAAAAATCGTAAACGCTTGTACTTCGCTCATTGGGGACTATAAAAAAGAAATTTCCAAATTGCCAAAAAGCAAACAAAAAGAGGAACACTACCAAAACGTGGTCGACTCACTTGAACGCTATTTGAAATCCGTTAGTAAAATATACACTGAAGCTAAAGCAATTCGCGTGAAACGCGTCTTAGAGACTCACAAAGTCGCCAAATTGGAGACAATTGGTGGTAAAGGGAATTTGGAGCTTCCACCAGTTTCGCCTCCTCCTGTTGACATCGAGGACCAATTATCAGTTGAAGAAATGCAAATGTTTGAATCAGAAAACGAAATGCTTTACAATGAACTAAACTCAACATCTGAGGAAGTCAAACAAATGGAAAGCAAAGTTGTACACATCGCCGAACTTCAGGAATTATTCACCGAAAAAGTTTTGCAACAGGAACAGGACATTGAGAGAATCGCCAACAACGTTGTGGGGGCTACAAGTAACATGCGAGACGCTAATGAACAAATCAGGCAGGCGATTCAAAGGAACGCAGGATTGAGGGTGTGGGTTTTGTTTTTTCTTCTAGTTATGTCGTTTTCGTTACTGTTTCTGGATTGGTATAACGATTAATAATAAAACCTACAGAAAAAATAAATTTATTTTTATAATAAAAAACAAAAGCAGATATATTTTTGTATAACTCGGTAATAAAGAAAATTTCTCTTAATTAACATTAAACATACTTTTGACTAGTAGAAGCATAACATCCACACCTGGATTTAGATAAGAGTGACCCCCAGCTAACAATTATTTGGCACCATGATAACAATTGTGGTGAATTTCCTCCAACTCCCCAAATCCAAGTGTTTAAAAGTCTAATAACATAAAACAATTTCTTGATACTGTACAAATACTATTAAGTGAAAAATCACATAGCAAAATACTTAACGTAGGCGCAAATGTCCCATAATAAAAACCAACATTTCATACCTTTCCTTTGTAAAAACGTAACGTGTGCTAAAAATCATCTAACAGAACATTTGTGACCCACTTGGGGCCTCTCCCTATCATAGATTTATCGTATCGAGATCCTGTATGGGGGCCCTCAGACTACTATTACTCTCCTGCGACTGCGATGGTGGTTTACTCACACTAACTGTATTCCCACTCCCCCCCGAATTCATATTCAACTTCCCAATTATATTAGGTATATTAAAATCAGCATTGGGTATTTTTTTCATAATTTTACCCGACGTAATTAATCTACCAAAGCCTTCTTGATGCGCGAATGCGTATCCAGACCGAATCGACCTCCTCGCCCGTCTGGCAGACGGCGTTCTAAGCACATCCTGACTGTGCCTAGACCTGACTTGAGCCAATCTCTGCTTCAAACGCACTCTATCGGACAAAGTCGGCGCCACATCTACGAAATAGAACCGCCACGCCAACACCGGCATTATAGAAATCGTCACGCAAAGCACGGTCGTGAACCAAAACTTCACTTCTGACATTGCCTTGGTCAGAGAACCGACATAAGGGCCGCCGATAACGTAGTTGTAGAAATAATCGGCGATGAAATAGAATGCGAGGGAACCCCAGATCATGATGTGGTTGAAAACCGTCCAATAGAATGTGTCCAAGGCGATTTGGGCCGTGTTGACTATAACAAGTATGGCGGCTGCAACACTGCAAAACAGCATGTAGTCGGAGAGGCCTTGACCGTTCGGACTCACAGCATCATAGTAGGTACCTGTCAAAAGTGACTTTCAAAATGTCAAAAACACCAATGGTGCCTACTCACCGAAAGGGATGAAAAATAATACAATTGAAACAAAACAACCCTGGATAGCACTCCGAAAAAATTCTTTTTTGTTAAAGAATAGATTCCAATGTCCTGGTTTGTAGAGTTTCGGGTAGAGAATCGAGTTTTTGTCGTTGACATCTTGATCGAATATGCCGACGGCGAGGACGGGTAACGACGTGTAGAAAAGATTATATACCGATATATACATAGGATCGAAAACAGTCTATAGTAACATACAATTAGATTTATGGGACACTTTGTAATGTATGACTCACCTGGGCGCTAAATCCGCAGAAAAATGCATACCAAAAGTGGCACAAAGTGAAAGCAAAATTCTTATTGAAGAAATAACGAAGAAAGCTGCACATCCGATAATACGACCATCTTCCATGTACTAGAAGTAGTCGTTCGAGAAATCGAAACTGTGCTATCGAATAATCCGATGCTAAAACGGCTTGCATTCCCTCTTGACCGGAAATTCCAACCCCAATATGGGCAGCTGAAAATCAACCAATCGTATTCTTGTACTACACACAAGTTACGTCAAGTCACCTCTGATCATAGAAACGTCATTCGCACCATCACCTATGGCCAAAGTGACGGCATGACGATTCTTTTTGATCAATTCAACGACCAAAGCTTTCTGTAAAGGAGTGACACGACAACAAATTACAGATTTGCACTGCATGACCACATCCAAAAACAGACGTTCAAGTTGAGGATGAAGACAATGAACCAATGAATGGCCGTTGATTATTATGGCAAAGCCGGCTGAGGTTTCTTCAACCGCGGCGGCTTCGAGGGAGCCTCGATGATACTCCAATTCGGTACTGGAAATGGTAGAAAAAAAACATAAAAATCGGATTTAATGCCAAAAATAGCTTCTTCGTCATTTTAGTGAGTAAAGTTGAGGAAAAAAAAACATGAATGACGAAAAAAACATTTTTGACGTGTGGGGTGGTGTCGGACAGCAATGTTTCTTTTGGTTGGCGAGAAGGGGGCATGCGAACAGCAGATGAAATGTGAGCAGTGATGAAGAGGCGGTTTTCGAGATCCGAAAAAATCACATTTGTTGATACTTGCATTTAAATTACTTCCTTTGACAACACGATAAAGATTAATGATAAAAAAATATTGAAAACGATGAACTGCAAATAAAGCACAGAAGAGTTACTAGAGAAAAAAATAAATAAGTAAAAACATAAAATAATGAACGTTATTGATCAATTCTCATTTTTTGTATCCGAAATTTGTAAGTATAACAACCACAAATTTGTTTTTTAAATTATATAAAATGTATTTAAAACGTGAAATGTCAATATATAAACAATAAATTTGTACATTTTTAAAATGTTTTTTTACTACATTTTGGAACCTCCAAATTTTGTTCTTGTTTAATTTGCTAGTATTAATATAAAAGCGATAGTTTATGAAAATAAAGCTGCTTCTTTAATAATTACTGATGCTATTTTACTACTTTTTTACTATTTATTCTTCGTAAAATGAGGCTCATACACCGTTTTGTGGAAAAATACCATTCGTCTTAAAAAAAATAACTCGTATTTTTTTTTTTCTTCTTTGAAGCTTGCAATTAATGATAAAAAAAATATTAAAGATCAAAATTTCGAAATGATACATTCCTATTTCTAATAAAGGATGTTTCAAAACTCGCACCCCCAGAGAAAAATTCCAAGCAAGGAACATGGAAAAAAATGTTTAAAAAATTTTGACATTTATTTTTTGACATTTCACATTTTTTTGTCAAATGTTGCTAATGATCTTGTATGTTTTTTTACAATTATTTAGTAGACAAAAGTTTAGCCAATTAAAGTCACAAATAACGTTAAACATAGTTACTATTTAGGATACAGCTTCTTTGTTTCCTGTTCTAATAGCCTGTAGCAAAAAACTTGGAAAATTATTATTCCAACTTCGAATTTTTTAAAGAAAAAACATTTTTTCCATGTATCTTACCATTTTTCTTTGAGGCGCGAGTTCTGAAACACCTGTATAGGGTTTATACGTATCGTAAGTGTCGAAATAAATAATGTATTTTTCGGATCGCTAACACGCCGTAACGGTGATTTCCAATCACGTGACCCACCCCGTGCGAATGAAAAAGAAAAATTGCTGTTAGTTTGATGAGTTTCGATTTTCTAGGTTGTCAATTCGACCGACAACACTACATACTATAGGTTAGAAAACAAGTGCTACCATTTTTGGTTCAGTTGCACTTACTTTTGTCACGTTATTAAGGACACGCTATATTAGAGAGCAGGTAGATTAATAAATTGTACAACACGAACTAACAAGAAAACTAAATTTTTACGTCACCCATAACTAATCTATACATTTTTTGCGAGTTAGTTGATAACAAACCAATCGCCGAGAGGATGCTAATAAAAATAAATAAATAAATAGAGTTAGCAAAGAAGACACAATAACAAAAAAAAATTATAAAACCTTATCGTTTTTCATTTTTGTCTACCTTGCTCTCGTATTCTCACATCTTTCAATGTCATCATCCCACCTGAATGTGACGACACTGACGGCAGGTGCCACCGTTTGTTGTTGAGGTGGTGTCGATGTGCCCGTCGAATGTTCGGTGGTGTCCATTCGGCCGTTCGTCGTACCTATTTGAATATCGGCCGGACTTTGCGGCTGGAATGTATTCACAATTTTAATGTTTTCTTTAAATTTAAGTAACTGCTGATTGACTTCCTCATACGTCGACGCATCAACGATAAAAACATCGACCAAGTCATCAGTCAACAGTTGACACGAATATCCGATATTAATCGCAGTTTCTATAAAAACAAAAAACAATACAACAATCACTTCATTTTTATTTGTTTCAAACCTTGTTTGTCGCCGGTTAGGACCCAGATTTTAATACCGGCCAAAATTAGGTTGGCAATTGTTTGCGGGACGCCATCTTGGAGTTTATCTTCGATGGCTGTCACTCCGATTAGGACCATATCGCGCTCGATCTCTTCGTAAATGGCGTCGAGACGCTCGTCTCGACCGTCCATCGAAATGGCGGCTTCTTGGTGACGTTGCTTCCAATTGTTGAAAAATTCCTCGTCTAAATCTCGCGAGGCTAGGCATAAAGTGCGGAGGCCTTCCCCGGCGAATTTCTACAAAACATATATACATCAAAAATATCAAAACAAACCAAGGTGATTTATTAATTAATTTATTTATTATCATTTATTATGAAACCAAACGATTTTTGCTTAAACTATAAATTTTTTTAAAAAACTAATTGATGAATCATAAAGTAGTAAAGAATGGGACGTTTTATCAAATAATTTTTTGTTCTTTTGTTTTTGAGTTCTGTTCTTTTTTAAATGATAATTCACTACAAAACCATTTTTTTTCATAAAGGATTAAGTACAGCGATCTACTATATATTCAATTTTTATCAAAAAAAAATTTCATATTTTGCCATTTTGATAGAAAAAATTGCATATGTCAAAAACAAAACAAAATTTCATTCTCAAAACACGATCACACTTTTTATAGCACTTTGATTTTTATTAATAATTATTTTCTGGAAGCAAAAGATTAAAAAAAACCTTGGGTCCATACTTTTTATTCACCCTGTATATGGCTCGATTTAAAAAATTAATTATCAGTATAAGCTGACAATTTTAGAATTTTTCTTTCTAATTTTAAATTGGAACCCACATTTTTCTCTTCTTAATTTAGGAGATACATATTAATTTTCTTGTTACAGACATATGCGATATATTTTTTACTAGAAATTATTGTTTAAAAAAATATCAAAATTAAAAAAAAGAAATATAAAAGTTAATAAAATCTAGTTGCATGGTGTCAAATAAGACAATGTCATTATTGTAGTCAAAAAGCAGCAAATGAAAGAAAATATTGCCAATATTTTTTCATATTTTTAATAAGAAATGACAAACAATGATTGTCAGAAAAACATCTAGTTTAGTGTTATTAATTTATGTCATTATTTATTTTGTTTACTTTTAATAATAATTGCTAACATTAATTTTTTATTGACACCATGCAACTGGATTTTATTAACTTTTTCAACTTTGATATTTTTTTTTAAATAATTTTTAGGAAAAGCAGAACTTATTGCACATGTCTGTACCAAGAAAACTAATATCTTCCAAATTATAAAAAAAAATAATTTGGGTCTCTATTTAAAATTAGAAAGTTGAATATAACACAAAATATACTAGTATAACATTTAGAAAAATTCTTAAATTGTCAGCTTATACCGTATTAAAAGCCATTTAATTTAGTTTTTTAATTATTGAAATCCGGCCACAAATAAAAATTCTACAGCGTCTGCCGTTTTTTAAAAATCACCCTTTATTAATATTTTTTCTTTAATTGTAAAAATGTGCACCATAGATCTTTTTGACAATTACAAAGTGAAAATTCTGGTAAGAAATTTATCAAAAACTGAAACTGCCTAATTTTAAAATTAGCGAATCAATTGTACCAACGTTAAAAAAGATATTTTAAATCTTTTCACAACTTTATTTTGAAAAAATTAATTTGAGATTACTCCAGTTCATAAAACGGGTGTAAGAAACATTCACCAGCAATTTTTTTTTAAACTTACATTTAAATGCTCTTGCGTCCTCTGCTTGACCTCATCGCTCCCCTCTTGTAACCTTTCATAGATGACATTATCCGCCCCTTTGCAATACAACCTCAACACCCCATCCCTCCTCAAGATCACAGACATTCGTTTTCTCACGTTATTAAAATCCAAAATGCACAATAATTCATACACTTCCTTTTGTCCCATCACTTCGATCGTAATACTATTCGGTGAGCGTTCTTTAAAAACGAATCCGAAATTTCTAGCCGCCGACACTAGCGCCGCCTCGTCCGGTGATTGTGCTTGATACTCTAATTTCCCGTCTTTATCCTCCGACATCACCGTATGACACAGAGCCAAAAGACGAAAAAAATTAAAAACGTCTGAATCGCGACGTCTCACCGCATCTAATAAATTCTTATCGAAGAATCGAAACTCTGGCTCATAATTCGGATTGAAGGAGAAATCCAAAGATTCGGTTTCATCGGTTATTTCAATAACCTCACCGGTTCGAGTATCAATAACGTCACCGTAGGATTTACCGACGATTGAACACTTATTAAACGTCATGATGTTTTGTGTTAAAGTACCGGTTTTGTCCGAAAAAATATACTCGATTTGGCCCAATTCTTCGTTCAATGTGGTAGTACGTGCTTTCGCGGCCGTTTTCTCGTAGTACATTTGATCGTCCCAATTTATTAGGAAACTCTGAACGAATCGAATCACTTCGACTGAAACGTATAGTGAAATTGGTACCACTGTATTTAGTACGATAGCGTATGAGAAAAACACCAAAAGTGCTATGATGGTGGCGCCACCTAACGGCTCCGAAGGCACTAACGTGTCCCACGGCAGGAAGTCTTTGAAATATTGTCCGACCAAGGACTCCCATATACCACATGCCACCATACAGAAAAGGCACATGGACAATAAAAAAAATACTATCTGTAAAAAAATTAAAATGAGTTTGTGTCTCAAAACAGGAATACCTTACCCCTATAATTAAAAAGTTAAGAAGTCTGTCTATACTAGTGCGTTTAAACTTGCTTTTCCCGCTGTTTTGCATCAATTTCGTATCTTTTCCGGCAAAAATAACAACGCCGTAACACCACTGAGTGTTCCTCAGGACGCATCCTCGCAGTATGATCTTATCGTTATCTAAAGAATATGTTTTGTTTTTCCACGTGAGAGCACCTTCGAACTTATTCAAGAGATTATTAGGCGTTTCGCAGACGATCTCGCCGTCGAATTCGCCCAATAAGACGTCGTCTTGACCCATTGCGGCTGTTTCCATCAGACACTGTCGACATTTTAAGTTCGTCTCACTATAATACATAAATGTGGTCAGTATCAAAGAAATAAACAAACAACGCAATTCGTACCCGTCCAATTCAGATGTTTCGATGTAACACAAACCGTTAGGTTCACTTGTGGTTAACAAGAGAACATCGGCAGCGACAAACTGATTATTGTCCATGCGAATGATATCACCGACTTGCACTGCCGACCAACGTTCTTGGACGAGTTTGCCACGACGTACCAACTGAGATTTTCGGTTGTTGACTTGGCGATCGGAAATGTGGCGTTGCTGCAACAACACAATTATTCTCGGTGCTAAATAGTTATTTATTGTAAGAGTGTGTTAGGTAGCGTTTTATCCACGCAAGAATGTTTAACCGCGAGAACGTCAATTCTATCTAACACACGACTGCAATATAACGTTTTATCCACAATCACAGGGACAAATTATTCCAAACGTAATTAAAAATTAAATTGACATTTAAACGTCACGCCAAATGTGCTTTCGGTTAAACGTAGAAAGCTGTTACGCTGGTTAGTAACAGTGGAATAAAGTTACTTTATTCCACTTGTGGTACTTTATACACATCTAAAGTGTGGAATAAAGTCTCCTTATAGAGTGATTGTGGATAAGTATTATAATATGATGGAAAAAAATTGCAAAACACGTACAGGAATGAAAATAATGACATCGAAAGAGCAAAATTAAAAAAACAACATAATAAGTTCTTGTAGCGTTAAAAACCCTTGTTCAATCTGTTCTAAAAATAATTATATTAATTATTTAGGTACGAAGCACATTGAAATTGTACTTTTCGAAATCGACCCATGCAACGAAGACTATCGTAACTCATTTTATATTCAAGTAATACAACTTAAAAATTTTATATTAACTTTAATTTTAACAAATAGCTGTCTAAGTAGAAATATCTGTCTGGCTGATACTCAATTTCTTTATAATGTTATGAATGAACTAGCTAATTGTTCAATCATAATCACATCACATTTTTATTTAAATCAATTTTATTTTTTAATCTAAATTATTATTTTCTTCTCATAAAAAAAAATGAAGAACAAAATGCTTGTTTTCAAAAATATTTTTCTTTTCTTAAAAAGGTTAAAAAGTTGCAATTTTGCTAACGCTAATTTAAGATTAAACATTTTTTGTTGTATTCTAGAAACACCATTGAATAAAACGTTACCTTCAAAAAATACAGTGTTATGTGTCTTTTGTAAATAATATATTTTTTTATAATTAAGTAATATATTTTTTTATTTTTATAAAGAATATTCCTTTTTGAAGGAACAAAAGGCCTATAACTTGTTACATACATTAAATATAGGATTTTTTAAACATATTTACACGTTTTTAAAACATACATCTGTTTGATAGCAATTGAATATCTCTTTATTTATAATCTGACAATAATAATCTATAGGTAGACCTATGAGACTTTGTAACAAAGTTTTAATATAAATACTTACAAAAGTTAAGAATACATTTTTTATAAATTTTATTTAATGTATAATGTGCAAAAAGTAACACACCTATTTATTTTCAGTTACTTTCTCCAATTCTATATTAGAAAAATACCTTTCTGAGTTCTGAACAAAAGTAAAATTAAGATTTTTGTAAGTTGAAAATTTTTGTTTTCTTAACTGACAAGGTACTAGTTTTATTTAAATTTAAATTTACAATAGGAAAAAATTCAGGATTTCTAATTTTCTTACTCGGCAAAAAAATGAGAAAAAAGTCGACAAAAAAAATGATTCTAGTCATAATTATCTGGCAAATAATTCTCATAACTTTTACACTCCACTGACCCGGAGGTTTAAACCTGCAGTCAGGCAAGCACTCACCATTACGGATATTTCTATCAAGTATGTAATGATGTTGAAAATTTATTATTATTAAAAAATGATAATAATAATAACAATACAAGGTTGTGGAAATTAGTAGCGAAAAAATTATGACTTTAATAATAATTGTCTCCCAAATTTTTTCTTTTTTTTGCCTGGTTAAACAATAATAAATAATAATAATTATCTGAATTTTATTGCATATAAATGAATGGAAAAATCAGACTTTTGTAAAAATTTGGAATTCATCAAATTTACAAGTTATTATACCTACCGACTTAAAAAAAAAAATAAAAAAAATAAGCGTACCTTAAAAATATGTTTCAATGTATGCAAATCTCTTAAAACGTGCTCTATTTTATATAAATCTTGTTTTGTAATTCAGAATTTCCTTGGAACTCAAAAAAACACTAATGTTCTAACTTAGTTTTGTAAACAGGCATAATTTTTTTTGGTTTGTTCAACTAAATGATGTAACAAATAAAAAGATATTCATGGCATGTTTAAAAAATTCAAACAAAGTGTTCCAACTAAGTCGAAACACGTGCTGTGTTAAAATAGTTTGATGTTTTTAATAGAAACGAGTTTTGATTTTCTCAACAACAAAAAACATCCAACAAGAAAACACAGTAACTGAAGAGCAAACTTTCAGAAAGCATTTTGTCCAAAATTTGCATTTTTCCACCAGAGAACAAAAACTGTCCTTTTAAGAAATAATTTTTAATTTTTTATAAAAGTGTCAATAAATGTGAAAAAATATGTACAAATTATTGATTATTGTTGTCCATTTTGTTTCTGAATATTGGACTGATTATTGAAAATAAATACAATTTTTCGGCAACGTTTCGATTCCCTTTATTGGATCTTCCTTAGGCCGTTTTACGTAGCGTGATGTTCGGGCATTTGGTTTGAGTCAAATAATCTTTTCTACAAAATGTACAAATTAGACACTAATTTTACAGCTGGAGTACTTAGACATTTTCCAGAAAAAATTAAAAACCTTTATTTTAATTGATAAAAACATGAACAAACCGCATTTTGAAAGTCTGCTCCTCAATTATAGTGTTTTTTTTATATTTTTCTTTTAATTGGTTAATACATACGATGTCATCGTAAGCATCTTTAATGGCAGTGAGTCCCAACACCCCAATGAGGGGTAGAGCTGTTGTGACGGGCGTCAAACTGCTGATAGCAGGTATCAGCTGCAACACGAGAAGGCACAAAAAATAGAAATTAGCCAGACGCTGGAACTGCTCGAATAAGTTCAACGGCAGAAACGTCAATATCGAATACTTTGAAGTCTTAATGTAGTTGCTCTGAAACATACGAAACAAATCAATTCTTTTCTGTCATCTCACTTATACCACAACTTACTGCATAACGAAATTGGGAGTTAAACTGTCTATCATTAGCGTGGATTCTCCTTTGATTATCTGAAACACAAACAAAAATTACTAATTTTGTTAATTCACTTATGTAACTTGACTCCTAGAAAAATCACCACAAGTTGGGTGAAGAAAACCATCGTGTTTATGACAGCAAGTGCATGAATTAGTTCATACGTCAATTGCAAATTGACCGTTCAATAAATTAATATTACTTTTGTTTATAAATCCAAGAATTACGATTTCCTATTTTATTATTCGGTTAAATTTAAAAATAAATAGAGCGTGGGCATAGTCAATGCTTGAGATCATACTGTTTTATTTTAAACATTTTACGAGCCACCAATTAAACTTGATTCCATTAGGAATTGCAGAGCATTACTGTAAAGCGTAGTAAAATCAAATAATTTTTTTAATTGGAAAAGTGCAATGAAGAGGAATGTTTATCAATTAAGAAATTGGGTTGCAATATTATTAAAAAAATTTGTCTTGTCACTATGATTGATATTGTGGTATTTTAATAATAAACGAGTACTTAACAAAATATCAACTTACAAAAAATATTAGTAAACTCAACAATGTTCCATTTAAGACAAAGGAAACAGTTTACTGTGTGACTCAAATGTTACATAAATTTGTTAATGCTGACTTAATCAAAACAAATATTTGCCCAACTCTATTAAATAAAAAACGGTTTAAAATAAACGTTAACACAAACAATTTGCCTAACACGAGTCCAAGTGCATAAATTGCCAATCAGTTGAGCTATTAACCCGCCAATTGTCTCGCAAATCTCCAATGACTTCCATAAAATCAAACCTTGACCCTTATTTACGCTGATTTTCGTCTCGAACTCACCGCAAGGAATGTACCCCCTTCTCGAATCCTTGGACGTGTGTGGCGAATCACCCTTATCGGGCACAGCCGTCTGATACCTTCTCTGATTTCTCCACACCACCAGTTTACCAAAAACACTCAAAATCGATTCTCGCCACCCCAACGGTCTTCGTTCACCACTCAACACGCTACTTTTCGACCTGTTCACGTCGTTATCATTCGCCTCTACGTTAAGTACAGCTTTGCCTTTCTGTTTGCACTTTTTTCGCGTGTGTTTTGAATGTTTCTTGTTCGACGGTTGATCGCCGTCGTCGTACACTTCGAACACCTCCAGTTCGTAATCCATAACTCGAGATGTTTCATTAGATTGAAGGGGGCACTCACGATTGCTCCGGAGGTGCACACATGACTCAGACGGCCGAAATTTTCAACTTTGACGTCATTGGGGCGCGAGACGGTTCTTTTACCCGATTTCTGATCGGCATTTAACGACGAACAATGACGAATGTACGAGATTCATCACTTTAAATATTTTTCAATAGATTTTGACAGGTGAACAAAAACGTCGCCATGTCGGTAAAATAGGACGCTGTTTTACCATTCGTACCAGCGGCATCAAAACCATTATTTAAAATTTGACACAATTTTCACTTTTTTTATTATTATAATTATTGGAATAACAATGTTGTAGCGTTCGTATTACGGTGGTAATAATATAGTAAAAATGTTCCAGTCGGGGCGCAAAAAAACGACTTTAGCCGATAAATTCGATCATTTTGAATAATTAATAATACTTACTATCTTGTATAAAAAAAGACTTCGAACCGATCTGACTGCACGAACCAACATTGTAACAAAAACTTGACAATTTTTGTAAAAATGAAAATATTACGTTGTTAAATGTCAATTGGACCGCCCGCCGACTAGATGGTTATTGATCACATTTGGCAAGTACCAATATTAAAATAAAATTAATAGGAAAAGTAATAACAAATGTTCCAACTTTGTTCTTTGAAGCTAAATTTCAGATCTAAATTCATAATTGATTTATTCGAATCGCGCGTGAATTCTTAAAACTCATAAAAATTTAAAAGTCTGCGATCTATATTACCGACAAGGTCAAGGCCCCAGTTACACCACACAATTAACAAGAAAGATTTAATCCAATAAAATTTACACGTCATTCTTTTATTATCGATTTGAAGTTAATCCGATAAATAATTGGCTAAAACCAATCTAATTTGTGAATAATTAAACGAAAGTCACATTACAATACATAATAAATTATTATAAATAAATTAAGTGATTTTCTTGGCGTTATCATTAGGCATAATGTCAGGTCTTATTGTTGAAGTAATAAAAATCGATTAACATTAAAACCAAGTTTAACCTGATTGCAACACACCCATCGATAAAAGCATCCGTTTGGGGGATCCCCCGGAAGTGTCTTTCTTTATTATTCTGTTGTCATTTCATGGCAAACTTGATATATCTGAATTAAAGTGTTTTTTTAATACTTGCCTAAAGTGTGTGTCCTGCTGCTCCTAAAAGACGCTCTGCTCATCATTTTCTCAAAGGATCAGGATATAAGGACAGGATGTAATGATATGGTCATAAATGCAAACATAAGGCCACTTAATTTCTATACATATAAATTGTTCTCTTATAGTCAGGTATAATTAAGGCCACTTAATATCCCTTAATACTACAAAAAGGTCGAAACGTCGAAAAAGTATATATTTTAAAAACTATACGTATAAATATTGCAGAGGTAGTAAAAAATTAGTGTATGAAAAAGTTTGATTCAAGTACTGGGATTAAGTACGGGATTATGGGGGTGGTATTGCCGAAGACGGGGGCGGTGCTGACGGCAGCGAGTGACTGAAGTGAAAAGTAGGCGAGCATCTGGGCCTGCCGATCCACAAAACCCGGCCATGGACCGCTCTGAAACAGGTATTTTTTAGTAACTAGTAAAAAAAATTAAAGAATAAAATCAATCTTGTGAGAAGATAAGCACCTGTTCGTAAATAAATAAACTACAAGAATATCGACAAGACGAAGTAATTATCTTAATATCCGGTCGTCAAATTGAAAAAAGAAGACGAGGCGTAATATAACCTCAAACATCAAACATTTTCAATTGCCGCCATTTTAATTAATAATTGAGAGCGCCATCTGGTCAAAAAAGTGGCATGATAACACAACAAGAACGAATAATGAATAATCGATAATTTTCCCATTAGAAACGAACTTTTTGTTGACTGAGAAGTTGTGACAAAATCATACATAAAATCAAAACTGAAACTGAATTCTTACAGATGTACGATTTTTTTTGTAAACATAACGAATAAACGAATTATTATTTGTTTTTTGAATCCCTTAATAAAATATATCATGCTATCGTGACGTGTAGGTGTTAAACGATTGAGTTGTGCATCAACAGCAATATTATAAAAAATTCATTATTTTAAAGCACCAATTTGAAACTAATTATTTCCCTTTTAATAATATCGAAAAATAATAAAATCGTGCTCTTTACTTGCATTCCATTTAGAGAAATAATTTGATCAAAGAATGTTTCTCCTTTTGCTTGAAGCAAATTAAACGTGTATAGATATAAAAAAAAAATAAAAATGTTATTGCGCTTGATATAAAATAATTAATATGTAAAATATGTGGTAAGAAAAGGCGCTATTTAGTAAATATTTTCTGTACAATTTTTGGTTTAGTTTTCTTATTGAGGGAGGAAATGAAATGAAATGTGTTTTTGTTTGTTTTGTAATAACAAAGAAATGATTCTTTGAAGGAGATATTTGAGATGTCTAATTATTATTAAGTAGCGTGTCGCACCTACAAATTTGTAGGTTTGATAATTAAAATTAAAAACTAATTAAAGTAATTTTTTATTTTAATTAGTCAATTCTACAATTATTGCCATAAAATAGTAAAAAGAGATAACCTATTAGTAAAACTATAATTTTGTATTTTCTAACGATGTGAATCTTGGATTTTCCGTTTCCTATATACAGGGTGAGTCACATACAGGTGTTTCGGCTAAACTGAAAGTATTGAGAGTTCTAACGATGATATTTATATAAAATTTTGTTTATAGATAATCGGTTAGGTCTGCTCAATGAAAATATTTTCAAGATAGCGGCATTTCCGATTACATTGGAATATTAACGAAAAATCAAAGCAATAAAAAAAATTCATTGTCATTTAGACATTTTTTTACTAAATACTTGTATCAAATTAAACTGAGCAATAAATGCAATAAATTAATAAAATCAGTAAGTAATTAAGAACAAGAACAAAAATACATTATTATTATTATTAATTATGTACATTCAAGTTAAAAATATCATTTTACGAATCATTGTTATTTTCTTCAAAGCGATAACAAACAAGAAAACTTGACTTTTCTTAACAATGGTAATACTCGTACTACTTAAAAGTTCAGATCATTGTACTAAGATTTGTACTATTTGTGGAAAATTGCGTTTCTACCGATAAGTAAGCCCTCATACAGGGTCTCTTAACTTATACGCATAATTTTAGGGTCTGATAGGTTATGGCAAATAATAACTAGTAGTAAAAAAAGTTCTAATGAAAGTTCCTTATTACCGAATTATACCGTTTTAAAAACACTATTAGACTTATTTTCGCTGATGACACCAATGTCGACATTACATTATTTTGTTCATGCTATGCCTGTCAATAGGTAAGTGAATCGATATTCTTTATTTTTGTGGGGTTAAGTGGTATTTTTTATTGATATTCGACAAAAATTAAAAAAAAATAAAATTTAACATATTGTTCTTTTTTTGGCTTATTAAAAATCATAACCTTTCATTCTCTAAGTTTATGCGCATAAGTTAAAACGCACTCTGTATAATAAACAAAAATGTTTAAGTAAAAATTCAGATAAATACACCTTCAGAAGTAACGTTCACATTTATATCGTCTATTTTTCCAAATAGACTACTTTTCTACCCTACAATCTGATCAATTTTCCTATTTTATTATTGTAATGTATTTGTACCGTCTCGCCTGTTCAACACCAAAAAAACTTTACTCAAAAATGATATTTACCTACTCGTTGGTAATTTTCGCTACTCTGAAGCTAAATATAAACTCTGGAAATAATGTTTTCCTAAAAATAAAATAAAACGAAATATTTTATACAATTATCTTTTTAAAGCTCCGGTATTACTTTATTTTAATATTTTGACTTCAAAATTAAGTTGGCAACACTAAATTATTGGTGATATTAAATTGTGTTAGATGACGGCCATGCCACCGGCCTCCCCTCGGAAATGAATGAAAACTGATTATAAAAGTTTTATATAAAATTTGATAGTTTATGTTGTCAACTTGATTTCAAATTCACAGGATACTTAGATTAAAAATTTATTTAAAAGCAGTCTATTAACCGTTTATTTAATAATTAAAACATTGAATAATGTAGATAGTAGATGTGATGTTTGTCAATTTTCGCATCTTTCCACTCTATTTATTTTTTAAGTTGCCAACTAATTTTAAAATCGCAGTCTACTGTGATAAGATTTAACAAATTTAACAAAACCCATATTAATTATTTAATGTAAAATGAGTGCAAAAATTCATTTCTTATAGATGTTTCAATTTAGATTTTATCTTTAATTAAACCGAAAATCTTTTAGCCGGGAACACCTTGTAATTAGATGAAAACAACTAAAAAAAATTTAACTTATTTTACAACGCCTTTTGTCTTTTTAAGTTTTTTATATAAATAATACCCTTCACACAGAATGGTATACTAAGCGTAATTAATAATTATAGCAGATACACAATCCACATTATATCCAATTAAAGAAACAATATCTAGCAAGACCTATTGTTTCTAAGTTAATTACGAATTCCAATTTAAATTATGTGACGTCGACAGCAGGGATGTAATTAAACGGTTATTTTGTTAATACTCTAAACAAAATCCTTTAAAGAGCTATTAACAATGCAAAAACTATAACATTTTTTGTGTCATTTCACATGCAACCGTAGAAATTTTACTACCACATAAAAATAAAAATTTATGTATACCTATCCCCAGAAAAATGTTTACACATTCTAATAAAACTAAGCCAAACTCATACAAGATGCAGGAAATTTTCCAACAATACAAGCGCACAATGACGTGTCTTTATTAATTTTTCATCAAATATTATCTAAAAAAATTAACTCAGTGTATGTAGCGGGAGGAAGTACGTCTTAGCAATGTTAACAAAATAAACATTTTTTATCAGAAATATTTTACAATGATGCAATCAAGAACAATCATTTTCCGAAATGACTTACACTTATCTTTTTATCTAGATCGACCGACTTGGCATTTTTCCAGATTAATTAATTAGAAATTGATTTTTCTTAGAAAACACTAATTGAAATAAAACATTCATACTTAGCAATAAGTCAAAGAATCCACGTGTCCATGGTTTTGAAAAGCGTCACTTTTCGCACTTTCCTTATGAAGGTTACACTCACTTGGTTATTATCACAAAGTTTCGCGCATAAACTTTTATCGGTGTTTTATCAGTGACGAAGGTTGGCACGTTACTCCTCACCTATCAACGGTCACACTGACAATACGAAGGGTTGGTCGGTATCGGTAGACACGCGATGCTCGAGGCATTGATATTGTTTCAAATCTAGCGCCAGAAATCAATCAGTTTCTGGTCTGAATCATGCTGGGAGGTTTCCTGAGAATGACGTACAAAAAGATCGGACTTTCCCAGATTTATGTCATCGCGGAAACCGGTCAAGGAAAGAGATCATTGAACAGAAGAGACGCAATTGTAAAACATGTATTTGAACGAGATTCATGCCCATTTTCGCCTAGTATCATATCTTTCTTATCCCTCATCTGATAAATACGAGACGATTATAAAGTATGTGCAAATATTTTAACAGGTGATACCTAATAGAGCTCAAAATAAATAACTAAACTTGCCTTATCCGAATGTTTATACAGGGTGATTTTTTAAAAAGGGCATGCGCCGTTATTTATGGCACGATTTCAAAAAATGAAAATAGTATACAGGATGATTCTTAAATAGACCGACAAAATTTTATCACATCTTCCCAACGATAAATGGAGGCAAATTGTACGATTTTTACGTTTAAATATTTTAGGGGCAAAACCCCCTTAATCCGTGCCACTTACGGCGTTTATGAATTGTTGCAATAATCAAGTACGTTAATACCATGGTTACCACTACCTGTGCTAACACATCAGTGGCGTACGCTTTACTTCGAAAATGACTTTAATAAATTTTATTTGAAGAACGTTTAAACAAAGAATATTTTAAATATTTTATCCAGCATGTTCTCATTTGATACTACCAAGGATAAAATTTTGTCGGTCTATTTAAGAATCACCCTGTATGTATTAAAATACAAGTTGCAGAAGGTATAAGAATCCATAATGATTTTTTTACAAAAAACTAGCGACACACTACTTCGAAAAAATAAATCAATTTTTATATACCTACAGGTGCGCCAGAACTCGCACTCCAGAGAAAAATTTAAAGGAAGATACCAGGAACACGGAAAAAATGTTTAAAAAAATCTGTCAAAAAATTTTGACATTTATTTTTTGACATTTGACATTTTTTCACGTCTATTTAATGATACTGATGATCTTGTATGTTTTTTTACAATTATTTAGTAAAGGTACAAAAATTTTGCCAATAAAAGCCACAATAACATTGAACAATTTAGAATATAGCTTCCCTGTGTCCTTTTATAATAGTTTGTAGCAAAAAAACTTGGAAAATTATTTTTGCAACAGAAATAAATAGAGTCAAAATGCAAAAGTTAAAAACTTCGAAATTTTAAAGATAATTTTTTTTTAACATTTTTTCCATGTTCCTGGTATCTTACCTTATTTGGCATATTTCTCTGGGGCG